TCTCACAATCCACCCCTTGGGGACCTAGTGTCCTTGCTGGCATAACGCTAGGTGTCTGCCTTTAATACCATTTGTAACAGCCCAACCTCACTGATAGCCGATATTGTCATCTTTGGGCTTTCCATTATGGGTTTCCCCTCAAAGTTTTAGAACGCGTCTACTATAGAGAGGGTATAGTCCTACTCCGATCAGTGCCTCGTACTGTTTGGTGACTGGCCTTGATACCATTTGTAACAGTCTGAGACCACCGTTAGTAGATATTGTTTGCTTTGACCCATTACGTATCGTCGTCAGCCTCGTAGTTTTGAAATGCGTCTACTAGGGAGGGGTTTTCACACCCTTATAAGGAATGCTTCGTTTTCCCCTCCAATCGATATGGGATCTCACAATCCACCTCCTTGGGGACCTAGCGTCCTTGCTGGCACATCGTTTGGTGGCTGACTCCGATACCATTTGTAATAGCCTAACCCCACCGCTAGTAGATATTGTCTTATTTGGGGTTTTTCCCTTACGGACTTTCCCTCAAAGTTTTAAGATGTGTCTACTATGGGGAGGGTCTAGCCTTACTTCGACCAATGCCGCACACTATCCGATGATTGGCTATGATACCATTTGTAACAGCCCCAAATCACTGCTAGCAGATATTGTCTGCTTTTTAACCAGTTACATATTATCGTTAGTCTCATAGTTTTAAAACGCATCTACTAGGGAGAAGTTTCCACACTCTTATAAGGAATTCTTCGTTCTTCTCTTCAACCTACGTAGGATCTCACAATTCACCTTTTGGAGACCTAGCCTGATGTCTTGCTCTGATACCATTTATAACAGCCCAACCCCACTGCTGGTAAATATTGTTCTCTTTGGGTTTTCTTCTTCAGAGCTTTCCCTCAAGGTTTTAAAATGCATCTACTATGGAGAGGGTCTAGTCCTACTCCGACCAGTGACTGGCTCTGATACTATTTATAATAGCCCGAGACCACCACTAGTAGATATTGTCCGCTTTGACCCATTACGTATCGCCGTTAGCCTCACGATTTTGAAACGCGTCTATTAGGAAGAAGTTTCTACACTTTTATAAAGAATAGTTCGTTCCCTCTCCAACTAAGGTGGGATCTCACGTGGATAGATTCAACTAACTAGATCAGCAGATTAATAGAAAAGTTAGTGTTCTATGGTGGGGTTCTTTTCTCATTCCCACTTGAAAAGAGCCACTGTTACAGAACCCAAGACTTCGTTCCTTTCTTTTTCCTATTTTTTCATGTTTTTCCCGGTTTATGAAAGGACATGCAAAAATAAGGCAGGGCACGACACGAATCCAACCAAATCAAACTAAGATCATAAATTACATTAAGACATAGGTATTTGTAGGATCTCACAGCAGTTAGAGTGGGGAACAAAATATTCCTTATAAGGGCGTGAAAACCTTTCTCTAGTAGACGCATTTTAAAACCGTGAGGCCAACGACGTAATAGTGATACGTAACGGGTCAAAATGGACAATATTTGCTAGCGGTGAGCTTGAGTTATTACAAGTGGTATTAGAGCTAGTCACCAGGCGGAGTGCCATTGAGGACGCTGGCCTCAGGGGGATGGATCTTGAGATCCCACCTTAGTCAGAGAGGGGAACGAAACATTTTTTATAAGGAGGTGGGAACCTCTCTAACAAAGAGCTGAGATTGTTTGGGAACAAGCTTGTGGTGGCTCTCATGGTGCAACTTAGAGATCACTTACAAGACTACGAACCAGTTGTTGGCCCGATGAAAGGATTCGATATAGATTCATTAAAAAGATCTTTAGATATATATATCAGTGAATATGATGTTGTTTGGTATGGGGCCTCTACTCCACACAGTGCTCCAGACCAGACAAGATCAACGTATTGAAGCTAGAACTTTGGTTCATAGTTTATTACAAGGATTTTCTTATTAAACATAGGGAGATTTGGTGTAAAAATAAACAAATCAAGAACTTTCATGAGTATGAACACCCTCGTAAGTCGTTATCACGTATTTTGGATCCTCTCGATCTCTCTCGACTCTCTTCTTCACCGGGCAGCCCTCGACCGAACATTTGTAGTAGTTCCTGCATTTCGTAGATGGTCGAGCCAAACCGGATTAACAATGAAACATGTTATGTTTATGTTTAGACAGAATTCATTTTCTTACCTCGGATTTGGGCTGTTCTTCACCATCTTCTTTCCATACTTCCTCCACTTGAAACCATCATCCAGAACCTCAACTTCTGATTTGGTCTTGAATGCAAATCTTTCTCTAACTTCCCTCTCTCTCCCATTGTCTCCTACTAACACCATTAAGGGTCATTCATTAGGCCACAGCCTCTCAAATCTAAACCGGACAAGTCTACTGCTAGCAGATATTACCGCTTTGACTCATAATGTGTTACCGTCAATCTCACAGTTTTAAAACGCGTCTAGTAGGAAGAGGTTTCCACACCCTTATAAGGAGTGTTTCGCTCCCCTCTCCAACCGATGTGCGATCTCACAATTCACCTCCCTTGGAGGCCCAGCGTCCCCGCCGGCACACCACCCAGTGTCTGGCTCTAATACCATTTGTAACAACCTATGCCTACTGCTAGCAGATATTGTCCGCTTTAGCTCATTACGTATCGCCGTTAGCCTCACAGTTTTAAAGCACGTTTGCTAAGGAGAAGTTTCCACACCCTTATAAGGAAAACTTCGTTCTCCTCTTCAACCAATGTGAGACCTCACAATCCACCCCATTGGGCTCCAGCGTCCTCGCTGGCATACCGCCCAGTGTCTAGCTCTAATACCATTTGTAACAGCCCAAACCCACCGCTAGCAGATATTGTCTGCTTTGGTTCATTACGTATTGCCATCAGCCTCACGATTTTAAAACGCACCTGCTAGGGAGAGATTTCTACACATGCGATAGTTACAATCACTAAAATGTAATAATAAGAGTTATGCTTACTACTGCTAGGTTCTCCTTGCTGAATTGTGCTTCCATCAAACTCCTCAATCTCCCCTGACTGATAAGCCGGGTACATCGCCGAGTCGACCAGAGGTGGAGAGTTTTCATCGAGCCACCTATCGAACATCCAGTCCGTAAACTCGAACCCCGGCTGCTCGGGAAGATCGTTCTCCGACTTATCAAGGTGCTGGTTACTATTGTAAGACATTTGGAAACTAAGAAGCAAAAACAAAGTAGACAGTTTTTGGTTTTGAATTTGAATTCAAATTTTCAGATATTAATGAAAGACTTAATAGCAAAAGTATGAACTGAGTTCAGGTTGATAGGCAGCTTCCTCCAAACTTAGGAAGCTTCGAAGCTAATGCTTAATATAATGAACGATGAAGACCATCAAGTCTAGATTATGAAGTTTGTGTGGGGTATGCCATAACAGATGACTCTGAGTCCACTTTTGAACAAAATGTGTTCATTTCACTTCACCATCATTATCCTCCCTACCACCAACCCCTTCATTAGGCTATCGACAACGATTCAATTCAACGTACGACTAAATCAATACTTACAAAAAACGTAGTCCCGAGCCCTGTTATGTTCAAGTTCATATGATATATTTGCAGTTACGTTAATAAAACATAGTCCCGAGTCCGGTCTCATATATTCAGGTCTTCAAAGTCCCACAACACCCTAACTCCATTCAATTTCAAAATGGAAATTATGTATTTTTTTGTCCTCTAAATTGAAAATTATATTGAAAAATTGATTTTTTTTTTTTTTTTTTGAAATGGGTAACATTATTTTCTAATTTTTTTAAAAAATAAAACCATAAATATAGATTTTTAAAATTTTATTAATAAGCTTTTGTATATTTTTATAAAAAGGGTATTTTCGTAATCATAACATAATTCATTTTTATTTCAGATAAAAGTAAATAATATCAATAAAATTTTATAATCATAAATTGCGTTATTGTTAGCAATAATAATTACAAAAAAAAAAAAAACTATTCCCGAGTCAATTTTCAGTAAATCTTAAACAGTAAAAAGAAAAGTCAAGGTCAATAGAAGAGGGGGCCCCACCATTCAAAATTCCGTCCAATTCTTTGACAGCGTTGAAAAAGTCAACAAAAAAACATACTCCTTCCCCGGCGGACTGACGGACGGGAATAAAACGTTGGATCGTCTTACGTCACCATGCTGACGTAATCAACCACGTGGCTACGACGGCTGCGCCACCTCAGTCAATGCGAAAACCACTGCTCAAGTCATCGTTTACCAAAACCAATAAGTGGATTACATTATAAAAGATTTGTATTATTTTATTGTTAAATTTTAGTTTTTATTTTATAATTAATTAATTTATTAAAATTTAATTTAATGGTGAGTAAATTCATAAATTTTTAAAATATAAAATTTATAATTTAAAGATTTGACTTAGGCTAGCGCCCATCTATTAATCTCACCGGTAACCATTTGATTTTGAGTGTGTTAAGAATGAGAAATAGAAATAGAATTGGGATCGAAAGTATGATCTTCATTCAGGTTTACCACGTTTAAATAGGATACAAACTATCAACTAATACCTAAAAATAGAAAAAATATATATCTAATTAAATCTGGTAAATAAATAAAATATACGGTTAATCAAATCTATACTAACAACTCCCTAAATATGTAAGATATATTCTAACTAATTATCACGGCAAAATATCCTCTTAATAGAGTTAGCCAGTTTCTACTAGATTTGTACTAAACGACTATGCTCGATAAACCATACCCTTCGAGAATTCTTGTCAAGTAAGAATTGGGTATGACTTGAACTTCGTGAATCTTAACCAATCCATGGCTTCGGGTTACCAAAGCCCACGAGAGTTATAACAAGTTGCCATCCATTATTATTTTGATTTGCTACTTAATGGTTGTAACTGTCCAAGCCCACCACGAGCCTGAAAAAAAAAAGTCTAAATAAGACAATATCAGTTAGCGGTGAGCTCGAGCTGTTATAATGGTCGTTGTTGAAGATCGTTGAAGTTCTACGTTAATTAACGAGAAGCCTATGATTGTGGAGGAATAGGGGGAGGAAAAGTAATGGGCTTTTTCAAAGGAGAAGGCCTTTTACGGAAGCCATATCTCAAAACAAAGAACAAATAGAGGAGGACGAAGATGGCGGTGATGGATATCAAGAAGGTGAAGCCGGCAGCATCTTGGCCAGACAAGGCGGTCAAAAACGCCGCGGATATCGAATAAGTGGCGACGAGGGAGAGGGTGGACATGTACTTAGCGTAAACAATCAAGGCCTCAGAAACCATGCCGCTGTTGGAGACGCGGTTGCTGACGTGCAGGAGCAACTCCATTAGCGAGAATATGAACGCCCACGACGCAAACGTTATGAAGAACACGTAAAGTTTTGGGCTTTTTGCTGCCATTACCTGCTCAAACCAATTTCATTTCATTGTTCAAATTTTAACTTGATTGGGTCGGTGATCCAGTAATTCAAATATAATTCACAACGTAATCGAACTTGAGAATTAGAGGGGTGGGTTGATTTCCGTTGTCGGGTTGTTTTTAAATTTTTTTTTAAAAAAAATCTTATTTATCCATAATACATGTTACGTTTTTAAATTTAATAAAACTCAAATATCAAACATTTCAGACCCCATCACCGATATTAGTTACAAGAGTCAAATATTCTTAGTTTTCATAATAATCTTAAAAGAATTTTCGAGATGGTTGGGTTGGTCATGTTGACCTACGAACCAACTCAAATTTTTTAGTTTTCCAAAATTTCAACCAAACCTAAATATTCACAACTCACAACGCATCAGTCATATCGGTTACAAATGTCAAATATTTTTCATTTTCATAATAATTTTAAAAGTAAGGTAGGGTTGGGTTCGGTATCAATCCTATTTTCGGGTTGGTTGGGTTGACCTACGAATCGACTAAAAATTGTCCGATTTTAAAAAATTCCACCAAACACAAGTCGGGACAAAAAAAAAAAAAAAAAAAAAAAAAAAAAAAAAAAAAAAAAAAAAAAAAAAAAAAAAAAAAAAAAAAAAAAAAAAAAAAAAAAAAAAAAAAAAAAAAAAAAAACTAACCCAACCCATTTTTTATGTTTTAAATTAAGTAGTCGGTCCATGTTCGTTTGATAATGTTTGGTATGACTAAGTTTTTGTCGGAAAAACATCTTAACGGTTTGGATCTTATTGTCAACGAACTTTTTCCTTAAAAACTCAGAATTGTAAGTGTCATTACCGATTTTCCAGCTTGATGACTGGTGACCGAGCTGTTGTTGATATGGGCACCATCCTCTTGCCAGACGCCGCCGGGAGGGTTGACGACGGCTTGGAAGGCCATGGTGGCGATGAGGGATGCCACCACCATTAAAGTGTCCTTCTTTCTGGCCCAAATCTCCTGGGAGGTTGTCGAACTTAGCGCCGATGAGCGGACGGCTCCATGGCCACGGAGGAAATTGGCCGTCCTCACTCTCTTTGGATACACCATGGGACAATCCAACAGCAGGTCTAGTGGTGTGAGCCCCTTTGAATTTAAAGCATTCACCTCGATTTCTAAGGTGAGTAAGTACTGAACTATCTGCAAAAGAACGGCGTCGCTTTTATTTTCTTCCTAACTTACCGACCACTTCTTTAAGTGTGAGATCTCACATCAGTTAGAGAAGGGAACAGATCATTCCTTATAAGGGTGTGAAAACCTCTTCTTAGCAGACATGTTTTAAAATCGTGAGGTTAATGACTATACGTAACGGGCTAAAGTGGATAATATCTACTAGCGATGGATTTGGACTGTTGATAGCGGACAATATCTACTGGTGGTGGGTTTGAGCTATTACTTCACATTAGAGATATCCATTTTAACTGCGAAGACCTGCCCTGAACAAAGATATAACAGTCGAAGCCCACCGCTAGCAAATGTTGTTTGCATTAGCCCGTTACGTATTGCCATTAGCCTCACTATTTTAAAATGTGTCTGCGAAGACCTGCCCTGAATATTGTTTGATGATAATAGATAGTAGTATCTACTAGTGGTGGGATTAGGATATTACTTTTCATTAGAGATATTCATTTTAACTGCAAAGACCGTCCAAGTCCACGGCTTGCAAATGTTGTCCGCATTAGCCCGTTACATATCGTCATCAGCCTCACAGTTTTAAAACACGTCTGATAGGGAGAGATTTCCACACCCTTATAAGAAATGATTCGTTGCCCAAATGATTCGTCATCAGCCTCACAGTTTCCACACCCTTATAAAGTTGAATGCACAAATGCTAGAGATTTTAAAACATGGGCTTGGGCTGTTACAAATGGTATCAGAGCTAGACACCAGATGGTGTACTAACGAGGACGTTGGCCTCCATGAGGGTGGATTATGAGATCACCCATCGGTTAGAGAGGAAAACGAAGCATTACTTATAAAGATATGAAAACCTCTTCTTAGCATACGCATTTTAAAACCGTGAGGCTAACGAATGTAAGTAACGGGTCAAAGTAGACAATATCTATAATTGGTGGATTTAGATTTCTTCCCATTAACTAAATGGAACGGAAACTGTATATATTTGAATCCATTTCAAAGATTACCTCGAGATGTTGATTATAAACGGCAAGATGGAGGAGAGTGAAGCCAAGATCATCCTTAGCATTGAGAAAGGTCTTAACATCATATCTACCCTCAATTCCTCCGACCAGCAGCCGCAAGGCCTGCAGCCGCCCATTCATAGCCGCAAAATGCATAGGATTTCTGCCATCATTACTGCACAGAAAGCAGAGTTCCGAATCAAATTGAAGCAAGTGCGTAATGATATTGAGATGCCCATTGGCAGCCGCCATGTGCAGAGCCGACAAGCCTTGGCGGTCGGAGTGGTGGGCTGATGCAGGCTCCAATTCCAACACCCTCACCACAAAATCAAAGTGCCCAAAAGAGGCAGCCACTTGAAGTGGGGGCTCAGGGAGAAGGTCGTATGGGTCGTCCAAGAGGGTGCCGCCCATAAGGAGCAATGGGTATCGGTCGCGGATGTCTTGCAAGGGGTTTACGTCCCCATTGTGTGCTGCTTCGTACAGCCGCCTGCTAATTAGGTTTGTCATGTATAGCGACATATTTGATGCTCTCTATTGAGGGATGGCAAAGCTTGATGATGGGCTATATAGAATCAACCAGATTCTTGTTCTTTGTTTTTTTTGGATAATTTTATTAACTGGGTATTGGTAGAGAGCCTAGAAAATTTCAAAATTCGTCCCAAAATGATTACATGATCGACATTGTGTGAAATCCCACCTTCGTTGGAGAGAGAAACGAAACATTCCTTATAATAGTATCAAATACATTTTAAAAAAATGTGAGACTGATGACAATGAGCAATGAATAACTTGCAAAAAAAACCATCTTTGGATCTAGTTTCTAACGCTTGTAAAAGGGTGTAGCAATGAATAACTCAAGCTCTGACGTTAACTCGTTTGGTAGAGAGAGATTTTTCCATCCTTGTAAAGAATGTTGATATGGAGTAAGTGTCAAAGAAGGAGAGAGTAAGCAGCTATAGTGAAGCCAGATGGTCGAAGCCATTTAAGATACGACAAGACAGTACAACTCATGAAGACGAGAAAGTCGCCTTTATTGTAAGATTTGAGGTACTTGGGGAGTAATTAATCAAATTCTATTGGGAAAATTATTGTAACAATTTTGGCTAGTTGGAATGTGCGTAGGTGGACAAATTTTTAAAGGAATAAAATAAACCGAAATTATTGGTGGTCTCTAGGCCGGCTGCCGACCGACCGGGTTTTATAATTTCAAGGAAATATATATATATATATATATATATATATGATAATAATGTAAATATAAATGATAAATAAGCGTAAAATATTTATTAATAATTTTTATCCAAAATATATATATATATATATATATATATATATATATATATGATTGAGATGTGATATTTTTGTCTATATAGTTTATTTTACTTAATATTATAGAAAAATTATTTTCACGATAACTTATGTTTATTTAAGAATTTCGAGAGTGTTTTATGTTTATTAAAAATGTTTGAAGTTCATAAATGTTCGGAATGATTTTTAAAGTATTTTATCTTTGTGCCCATGATATGATTTTCTCCATAGCATGTGAATGCTCTCGGGATTTGAGACCCACTTGAATATATAGACTTTCGATGTGTTATAGTACATAGCTCTATCCAATTAAGGGAAAGATTATGGATTTATGGATCGACAAGGGGCCTTTTGGGGAAACTGAAGGCAAAACCACGAGAGCTTGTTGTTAGGATCGCTTAACAATACACACATTCGATCGAGATGAACACAAAGAACAAGATAGAGAAAATGCAAAGAGAATACAGAAATTAATCTTCAAAACTCTACCTAACTTAAGTGATATATATATAGTTCAGTTTATTATATACAGCTTTACCAGATTTAACTATCTACTGTATGTATGTATGTATAGCTATTTACATTTATGCTCAGAGTAGACACTATCATACTAGTAGGGGTTCATGATTTCTAACATGGTATTAGAGTCTTGTCCTTAACTTAGGTATGTCAATAGAATTCTAAGTGTCGAACAAAAAAGTTGTGAGCCTCATGTAGTAAAAAAAAATTACTCAAATCGAACAAAGTGTGTGTTTTGTTCCAGGGCTCCTTAAAAGGAGTCGAGTCTCAATTAAAAGGAGGTTGTTCAAGGGCTACATGAGCCTTAGGGGAAGCTCTATTGTATACTAGGCTTCTTAAAAGGAGTCGAGTCTCGATTAATGAGAGGTTGTTTGAGGGCTCCATAAGCTTCAGGGGAAGCTGTATAGTGTACTAAGCTTCTTAGAAGGAGTCGAGTCTCGATTAAGGGGAGACTGTTCGAAGGCTTAATAGGCTTCATAGGAAGTTTTATGGTGTATTAGAGAACAGAATAACAACAACCGAATAAAAAACAAAAGAACTCCTACAAATTAAGTATTTGAAAAACCAATTAAATAAAAAAATAAATAACTCCGAGAAACTACTTTTTATTAATGAGCTATAACTTCACGAATCAAAAACTCCAACAGAGTTTTGAGTTTATAGACCAAGTCAGACACTCCAACCGAGCTTTGACTTTACAGACCAAGTCAGAAACTCGGACCGAGCTTTGACTTTACAGACCAAGTCAGAAACTCGGACGGAGGTTTATTGACTCAAACTTAACAAAATCCAGAAAGAGCAATGGAAATGATGTTTAAGATGAAACTCTCTTCCGTACAATATACAATGCAAGTGGGAGTCCCACAACGGAGAATCCAAGAGAAACAGAGAGCATAACGATGATACTGGACATCTGCGTGTCGGGTGTCAAAGCTTTTACAGAGGACCAATAAGCCACAACCATGGATGCTATCGCGGTTCCCATCGTGAAGTACATGAAGCTCGTCCAAACCGTCAAACGTTCATGGGACTTCATGAGCAACACCATGAGCTGCAGCACTGAACATGCAAAACACACGGTCATGCCGCTCATGAAATTGAGGAATTGAGAGGGGGATTTTGTAGCCATGATGGATTTGCCTGCTTCTAACTCTTTGGGTTTGTCTTCTTGCCAGACGCCGCCGGGAGGGTTGGTCCCAGCTTGGAAAGCCATGGCTGCAATGAACGTTGTTGCTACCATTAGAAAATCCCTTTCCCCGGTGGTGTTCTTCTTCTTCTTCTTCTCATCTTCTTTATTGTTTTCATTTCCAAGCTCCATTTGTATGGCCGTGCTCGACATTGCTAATGAACTTGAAATAGACCTAACTTAGTATGCATTTTATACACATAAACATGAACATCAAGTGGTTTCTTCATTTACAACTTGTGTTTCATAAAATCACCCACATGTTGGCATATGGAATAATTAACTGAAGTTAGACCTAGTTATGAGTTATGGACAACATATTTTAAACAAACAAGTGGCGTACCTTGGTACTAAACCAGTCTCTTCTTCTTGTTTTTCGAGTAAAATATTCGGGTCTACTTGTTTTCAATTTTATTTTCTTATTAAATTCAACTTGTAAGGTGAAAAGTGAGCACATGGAGCATGTTACTTATTTATAGCTTAGTAACGGTTATACATGGTGAAACTATATTTGTTAAATGATACGAAGAGTAAAATGTGTAAATAGCTATGTACAGTAAAAAGCTATATCTAATAAAGATATATATGGTAGATAGTTATATATATACTAGATGGTTATATCTAGTAAAACTATATATAGGAAGCTAACCCATATATATATATATACTTTCCATATTTTATGTATTCTCTATTGCTATACATATCTGTAGTCATCAATATAAAACCTTCGGCCAATATTCTCCTTGCATTTCCTCTATTTGTTCTTTGTGTTCATCTAGATCGAGTGTGTGTTGTTGTGCGATCCTAACACACCTAACATTTCGAGTATGATGAATATATCTTGATTTGTTAAGCTATGATGTTTGTAGATGACCAGTGAAACTAAGAATAGAACTCAGGGTGCTTCATATGATTCGATAACTCGAACTACCTAATCCAAATTATAAAGATTCAGTTGAATTAGATTATATATATATAGAGAGAGTAGGTGGGTTAAATTTTTGGGAGACCAAAATTTTGGGTGTTGGCAAGTTGACATTTTTTTTCTGGTCAACCTAAGCAACAAGAAATAAGAATACAACTCAATTCTACTCTTGAAATTATTATGAATATTAAGGATATTTGACATTTCTAACTTATATTAATAATGTGTATTATTGATTTGTAAATATTTGATATTTGAGTTTGAAAAATTACGAGATGATACAAACTCGGTTATGGTTATGTAATTGCAGGCTGTGGAGTATGTAATCAACCATACAAGAATCAAAGTAAATGCCAAAACCTCAAATGGGTTAACAGCTCTGGACATTCTAACGCAAAGCCATAGAGATCTAAAGGACATGGACATCGCAGAGACTCTCACAGCTGCCAATGCCATCCGAACCACACCAAAGAAGCCGTCGTCGCCGTCATCTTCATCGCCTTCTTCTTGTGTCAGAAAAATGGCAAAGACTCGATCTTGGAAATGGCTGTTGTGCGCCGAAAGCGGAACAAATGTACTCACAACACCAAAGTTACTCAAGACATACAATATGACACTCAAAACTTAATGATTTCAACAGCAGAAAGAATGGCATTATATAGCCTTCTGCTAAACCTAAAGATAAACTAACAAGCCAAAAAAAGACCTTGAGAATAGGTCTTGGTCCTAGAGAATAGGACTTATGACAGTGTTCAACAATCTCCACCTTGTCATAAGATCTCCAAGTTGATAGCTAATTTGGTTGCTACCATGTCAACACACTACTCCCTTCCGACGTTGATGAAATCTAAACAATGCCAGAACTTTTCACGAGTGATCACCTTTGTCAACATATCAGCAGGGTTATCAGCAGTTCCAATTTTTAATAACCGAATATCCCCTTTGCTAATAATTTCTCGAATAAAGTGAAAACGGACATCAATGTGTTTTGTACGAGCATGATGGACTTGATTTTTTGACAAGCAAATAGCGCTCTGGCTATCACAAAATACATCTATATGTTCCTGCAAAATACCCAAGTCATTGATCAAACCATGCATCCAAATAGCTTCTTTAAAAGCTTCTGTTACTGCCATATACTCTGCTTCAGTGGTAGACAATGCAACAGTAGACTGCAATGTTGAACGCCAACAAACAGGTCCCCCAGCCATAGTAAATAAATAACCCGTAGTAGATCGTCGCTTATCCAAATCACCAGCATAATCAGAATCCACATAACCAACTACACGATTGTCAAGATTAAACATTTCTTGTTTTTGAAACTTAATACCAACATCAATAGTGCCAAGAATGTACCTAAGAATCCATTTTACAGCCTGCCAATGCTCTTTACCAGGATTATGCATATAACGACTCACCATGCTTACAGCGTGTGAAAGATCAGGTCGAGTACACACCATAGCATACATCAACGCACCAACAGCATTTGTATAAGGGATGTTCTCCATATACCTTTTGTCATCATCAGAACTTGGACACATGGAAGCACTAAGCTTGAAATGAGGAGCA